GGCTTGATGGCAATGGGTTTATGAGTATTTCTGTTCTAAAGAAATCAAGGCTTTTAAAAAAAGATTAACTTTTATAAACAAGTCACAGTACATTGCAAACCTGGTATTTGAACCCAGATTTGACTGAGTCCAAAGCCCAGGTTCTTAAACACTGTTAGTGTGATTTCATTAATATTCACCCCCAAATACTTAACGGGCACTGTGTGCAAGATGCTGTCTTAATGCCAAGAATATAGCAAGGTAAACAAACAAAAACAGGTTACTGCTGTCAAGGAGCTAACATTCTAGTAGAAAGAGACAATAGACAAATTACAAATAAAATTTTGTAGGACTATGAAGACTAATAAGGTGAAGGGTGGCCAGGGAAGAACTCTCGGAGGTGACAACTGAGCTCACGTTGAGAAGTTGTAGCCACACTGAGATCTAGTTGAATGTTCTAGGCAAAGGGAAGAGCAAATGCAAAGACCTTGAACTGGAAATGAGCTTGGAAGAACGGGAAAAAAAGCCCATCTGCCTAAAGGCAGTGAATATAGCAGAAGGTGACAGAAGAGATGGAAGGCTGAGGCCAGCTCATACAGGGCCTGCCTGGAGGGCCCTGGTCAGGAGTTTGAACTTCATTCGAAGTGCCATGGAGTCGCTGAAAGGTTTTATACAGGAAAGGGATACGATCAGATTCATGGTTTTAAAAGATACAACCAGAATGCCTCTTAGAAGCAAGGAGAAGCAAAGAGCAAGGGGACTTCAACTTGCTTACTTTGGACATGTCAGGAAAGACCAATCACCAGAAAAAGACATCATGGTTGGTAAAGTAGAGGGTCAGTGAAAAAAAGGGAAATCTTCAATGAGCTAGAATGACCCAATAGCCACAACAATGGACTCAAACAGCAACCATCGTGAAGATTACGCAGGGTCAGATAACATTTCATTCTGTTATCCATAAGGTTGCTATGAGTTGGAGCCATCTCCACAGCAACTAATAACAACAACAAGGCTGCAATGTGAAAAATGGATTGTATAGGGAAGTGGAGAAGACCAGCTGGGAGACTGTTGTGGTAGCCTGTGATTAAAGCGGTGGTAGTAATGGAGATCAAAAGCAGTGGGTGGGTTTGGGATATATCTTAAAGAG